CCTTCTAAGACCACATAAATGAATCGTGTGGGAACACACCTATGAAAAGTACTCAGATGGGGTGCCTGCACTGCCATTATGTGATCCAACATGTTCGAAAACAATGTGCTAATGTTCTAGCCAGCTTACACAGATCTCACCAAACACCTGCATCTCCTTTCCTGAGCTTCCCTGCCTTTCCACTTGCTTGTAATGATACTTGTGTAGTTGCTCCTTATCACATTTATGCTTCTAATTCAGCCACAAGCTACCTCTTATCCTCTTTATCTTACTCTAGAAAGGAGATACCCAATTCTGCTTTGTCTTACAACACTGTAAATCAAAAATCAAGCATCCCAGTGATTTCCTGAACTTCTCTGTGTTATGGAGAAACCAGTCTGTAGAGTAGCAATATTTCCTGGCATAGTTTGTGATTTCTCTTCAGGTGCTACGAACCAGCAAGCTAAGGAGCGCTTCTGGGTGTGCCTGTGTTTGTAACAGGAGCAAGTTTGAGATTTTCACCTGTTATTTCCAGTGGCACATGCTAAAGACTATCCATTCAGTGGTACTCAACATGCATTGCTACTACATGGAACCATCAAGAATGGTGCGTTCATCCAGACTGTGGAACAAGAATGAGCCAGGAATTGCCAGGTGGGGCTGTTCTGATACACAGGAGAGAGTTCTCTATGCATTTAGGGCCACCTTAGCTCCAGGCAGGTTCTGACTGTGGCAGAAAGTGCCTGCATTACCTTACAGGCGCATGAAATCTAAACATGCATTGGAGAGGCATGTCTTACTGGTTGTGTGCAAGGAGCTGTGAGCCCTGGGGCTATAGACCAGCCTTAGGATCCGCTCCTCTTCAGTTTTCCTGATCTCAAGACTGATATCAAACCTGAAGAATATACTGTACTTTCAAATGCATTATCTTTAATTAATTCTGATGACTGTAGACATGATTTGGTATCCACATGGCTTTACAACCAGTATTAAATGTAGTTAAGTCCTTTGGCTTGCTAATGTCCTGCAGAAGGGAGCTCCACAGCCCTATGACATATCACATTGAAATACATGTCCTGCTATCCGCTATAAGTTGTCTTCCCTTCCAGTTTCCTTAAAGGTCTCCATGTTCACATGTTAATGAGCCGGTCTCCTTAAAATCTGGAAGGGACTTTAGTGGGAAGAAAAATCTATTCCCCAAGCTTTTCCGCTGAGTACACAGCTATGTCCAAACTAGCAGCCTGCTGGCAAAAGTCACAGTCTGCTCCCTCTAATCCTCCTTAGCCAACCAGTCCTATCCATGCTATTAAAATCTCCGCCTTTACAGAATTCTTCCTCAGAACAGAGAAACACAGGCAGAAACTGACAGGTAGGAAAAGATGTATGCACACTCTGACAGAATCTTGCAAGCAATCCTTGAGACGCTGATTTCTAAATGATCTCAGTTTCATCTAAGAATGCTTTTCTATTTATTTTCACCACAGCAAGCACCAGCTCAGAAATCTGAAATGCTACCATACTGCTAACTCCTTGTGACATGAGCAAACACTGTATCTGCGGATGCAGAGGGACTTCTCATCCATGTACTTTCCTGCTACTCACCATGACTTGCTTTCAACTTGGATCCATACCAAGCACAATGAAACGTATGTGAAAGCAGAGCTCGCTTTAGTTTCTTTCTCTTGCAGAACGTTGCCAAAGATCCAGGAAAGCAGACAAGATTCTGCAAACATGAAGCATTAACTAAAACAGAAGAAAATATTCCCGAATCTTTCTTTCTCACTTTCTCTCTCAAGCTCTGCCTTTCAATCTGCAGTTTCAGAACTAGCTGACACAATGGTGCAGGATGTAAAACCTTTGAAAATACCAAGTCAGTCTCTGAAAGGCAACGCCATTGCCAAGTGTACAGTCCAGCTCACTGGCTTTCATGACATTAAACCAATCTTCAGTATATTCAATTGTCTCTTTCAACTGCCAGACCCAAGCTGCACTCTCTCCATGCCCTCGAAGTGGGAGGTGCTGTGCTCACATGGGCACCAGGTCCCTTCATTCTTGTCTGCATTACTTTTTTTTCCCTGAATAACCTGCAAGGATTGGCTCTACAATAGTGAGCTTTACTCCTTCCTACAGTGCTCAGCAGATTTATAATGAAAGAATCAGTTTACTCATAAGAGCCACAAACAAACATGAGGAGCTTAAGATAGAAGCAATTCAGTAGCCCACAGTATTGTGCTTAGTGGGCAATCACAAATTTAAAGTGAAAATCCCTACAGATTTTGCTTTGCATTAGATATTAAATAAAACCCACTTGTGAAGCCGGATTAGTAAGAAACCTTTTTGGCTGCTGCATATATATGTATATAAAAATCAAAACAGGATTAAACATCTTTTGGAGACTCAGTGTCATTTTATCTGAGTAAATAAGCTTAAAGCGCCTAACAGTCAATTTATAATGAAGGCTTTTGTTCTTGGTGCTGTGATGCAGCCTTGCAAATTTGCCCACAGCTGCAGCAATTTCAGATATTTCTGACAGGTAAATAAAACACAATTTATTTCTGCCATTGTTATTAATCTGCTCAGTAAAGAACTTGCAATTGCATTTTCTTTCCAATTGGATACATTTTCATGATGATCTTGGCAAGGGTGGTAGGGAATAACATGCATTTATGGCATCTATTGCTGCAAGCGTCTGAAAAAGAGGCTTTGCTCAGCTGTTCAGCTGGAAAACAAATGGGGAATAAATACTAAATCAGTAACAACCACCTCAGTGAGTAAGAATGTAGAATTCAGGCAGCGTATTTAGTGGTTGGCAGCCCTGCCAATGGCAGGGGCTTGGTACTAGATCATCTTTAAGGTCCCCTCCAACCTAAGCCGTTCTATGATTTAGGACCATTGGAGTTTCATGGATGTGAGGGCCAAACAAACCAAACTGCAGGTCTTGACATCAGTGCATTGATTCAGGTCTCAGTCATTCCAAACCATACTTGTAAATGCTGTGTCAGGATATGACCATGCCTTACAACTCCCGACTTGGGCCCACATATTGACTTGTGCTCACCAGTGCTAAGTCTTAGCTGGGCTAAGGCTTTCAAGACATGCTGGTGAAAAAGAAATTATTTGCAGAATAAGGTACTACTGAGGGGTGACAGACAGAATCCAGCTGTAAGTGTCTTATTATATTGGTCAGAAACTGTGAGAAGAGAAAAAGAGAAATTCTATTAAATGCCAGTCACATCTGCTTGGCTTCTCACTCAGGTAGGCTGGCAGATGGTCAGCAAACAGTCCCACTTTTACAGTGCAAGCTACACAGTCTTTAAGCATGAAAATTAGCATCCAATTATTTTGCAGCGTTGATGTTTGCCAAGGAAGCAGGTTACTTCTGTTTTAATTCTGCTTAGGCTCTATTTGCTCACACACGCACACTGATCATGCGGCGCTACGCCTCCTGTACACAGGCGGAATTGTAAGCCAGAGAAGAGTACTAGAAACGTGGAATAATGCAAATTCCCAGGCAGGGAGCTGCTCAGCTTCCAACTTTTAGAAGAGACAAGGATGAGACAGTCAAGTGAGGAAGACATAAAGCATCTCCAAAAAGCAATGATTACCCCAACCTTCACCTAAAATCCTACAGTGAGAACTGTGTCTCGTGGCTATTAATCAGCTGTACAAGCGTTAGAGAAGGCTACAGTCTACTGAGCACCTAGCTCTGATGGGGAGGACATGAGGGCATTCAGATGAGTCCATGGTAGGCCCTGCTTCTCCCGAAGATAAATGCAAGCCCACTGCCCCCTCTGTGAACCACTACCACTGACACAGTGGTAGGCACGGTCACTGCCCAGCACAGTGCATCACGCCCTGGGACTGGCAGGATGTGTTCCTGAATGTGGCTGCTCTCAGGTGAACAATGGCTTTCCTTGGCAAAGCACACAGTTCCTTAAAGAGGGAAGAAGACATGGAACAAAACCTGCTTTGCTCAGGATTTTAACATATGCCCTGTGTGTTACAATCTTTGCCTGAAATAGCAATGCGTATCAGCTAAGTTGAACTTCGACTCATGCTTGTGCAAGGATCCCTTATTGAGCTACCCTGGATTTGGGTTTGATCACAAAAGCAGAGATCTGCAGCCTTCCCTGCTGCCTGCAGTTGTATCACATTAAGTGCAAATTGTGCTGTGCATGTTATTTCATGGAAGTTCCCAGCTTGAAAACACGTGAATTGCTTGTAATTGTCATTAAAGAGGGAGAATAATGCTCCAAGAGTGGCACCTCATGTTATAGTGGGGTTGCATATATTTAATTCTCCCATCTGATGGAAGGAAACTTCATTGGCCCAACCTCGGTCTGTACCACAGAGCATTTCAAGGCTGCTGCTTCAGCAGGTACAATTGGAGCCAGCAGTTTTTTTCCCTCCAGCAAGTGCAGTGGGAGCATGGAAGCTCTGGTAAAGCTGCAGAGCTCTTGCTGTGGGCACAGCTGATGAGGTGGGGTTGCTTTCTACCATGTGTTCCTACAGACTCGAGTTGTATTCCTAACAGCCAACAGCACATTAAACGCACCCTTCTGAGATCATCACAACGGATCCCCATCCTTCGCATCCCTTTTGGCATCATCACAACTGAGTACCCTCTCGGGGGTGGAGACCTCCATGCTGAGATGCACTCTGACTGTGAGTCCCTGCTGTGCCACACCTGCGTGGCTGTAAGCCTGGGGATGGGCATCTGGAGCCAAGGCTCCTGGGCTGCAAGGGGCACAGCCCCAATATTTCCATGAAGAACCACAGCTGCGGTTAAGCTGAGCAACATCTGGCTCCCACACCTGCCCAGCACCTGGGCTGGGGCCATTCTGGAGAGCATGCCCATCTCTAGAGCCCACTGGGCTGGGGCCATTCAAAGTTAGGAGTGAGCATGCCCATCTTCTCTTCCCCTGGGGGCCGTTCCGCTTGAGGGTGAGCGTTCCCATCTCCTTTTTGCTCCGGACGAGCCAATATCCAACCCCACCACCCACCTCCGCGTACGGCCTCACCTGCTCAGGACCCTGGAAGCAGATCCTGCAGAGCGGGGTGCGGATGCCGCTATCGACGCTGCTTCCCAGCGAGTAGCGGTCCTCGGCCTTGCCCTTGCCGAAGTCATCCGAGGAGGTGCTGCTGGGCAGGGAGGCGGGCGGCTCCCCGGCGGGGCTGCCCCACTCCTCGGCTCCCGGGCTGCCCGCTCCGCCGCCCGCCGCCGCCGCCCGCCAGCCGGGCCCGCGCCCCACGAGCGGAGCGGCGCCGCCGGCCCCCGCAGAAGCGGGGCCGCCCCGCCGGGGAGCCGCCCGCCTCCCTGCCCAGCAGCACCTCCTCG